AACATAATTTATCAGTACCCTCTCATAAATAAATAAATTAATCAATAAATAATATTTACAAAATAGCCTAAGATCATGTTTCTATTAAACACTTAGATTACGAGTTCGAGATTTCTATCACGAAATTGAATATTGAATATCATGAAATTGAGAGCGGATAATCTACATGTAATTGTTTTAGTATAAATGGCTTCAGACTTCCCATCAATGTAGGTGCTTATCTCTGGTTTCTGTAATAATAATAATAATAATAATAATAATAATAATAATAATAATAATAATAATTATGCATGTACTGCATGACATGCCTACATGTATACCCATTGGGCCACTAAGCCCCCACCCCCACCCCCACCCCAACCACCAACACCACCACCACCCTTTACCTTTTTGATTGACCTTACGGTCACATGAGCAAAAACAACAACAGAGCCTTCACAGGGCAATAATTAAGGGCTGTAATGATTAATCCGTAACACCTGTTAGAGCAGGTTATGCTTCATGGGTCGTTGATGCTCTGGGTGAACTTGCCTGTAGTCAAAACAATTCACCCACCAAGTCAAGTTTATTATAGGTGTGAAGATTAAGGAAACAGGTGACTCAAAACTTACATCGTAAAGACAGCCCTGCTTCATAAGGATTTAACAATGTAAAGTGATATCTACTCACCAAATCCCTTGCTTTCTACCTCAGGTTCCTCCTCTTCTTCTTTGTGACCATCCTTCTTCTTGGTTCCCACCTGACGAGCCTCAGACAGGACGCGATGTAACTCCACATGACCAACTGCATCATTCCACACTGACAGGTAGCAGATTGGTCTGATGGAACTTTCTAGAAATGACAATGCTGCAGCAAATTCTTGAGGTGTCTTGGACAAGTGAACTGCTTTTACCCAAGTGGAGCGTTGAACTGGCCAAGTGGGATGCATAAAGGATGAAGCAATGGAATTCTCAAGGCTGACTATTGAAAAGCGCAAAGTGTTCAGGATGACTTCCTTACTTCCACAAACTTCTCCGTGCCACTTAAATTCATTGAGGTTAAATTTGTGAGTGACACTGCGCTTCTTATCCCGTTGTTCCAACTGCTGTTGCTTGGTTAGCGCCAAGGGATTGCTTGTAAACTGATTGACATAGGAAGAGTAGTTCGCTTCTGAGCCAAGCCTAAATACAGGTTCTTCTACAGCATCTTTTGCTGAAGGAACTGAATTTCCTGCAGTACTTGCCTCTAAAGCACTTGGCTGTTGATGACTAGCTGTGCCACTGGAGGAAACAGTAACTGGCTTGCTGTCCTTCACCCCTGATGCAGTACTGGCTGGCAAAGCCATGCTGCTATTGGCTGATGATAATGAAGGCAGTTCAGTCTTGATGCTGCTAGCTTGGGCACTTATCCCATTCTGGCTAACAGTAATCTTAGGTTCATCAGTTTCATTCTTTGACGAGGTATTTTCTACAGTGAGTTTGTCTGAGATAGTACTATCAGTAGATGCACCAGTGGAAATCTGACCTTTTTTTAACACACTTTCGATCTCACTTGGAATTGTACTTTCTTTGCCTGCTTCCTCCACAGCACACATCTCTGTAGTGCCTTCTTCTTCTTCTTTTCGAGGCACTTGAGCAGAATCTTTGCCATGTGACTCTTCCTTGACCAAAGCAGCATCTAAACTTGAAGTAGGTTGTGCTCCATCAACAGATTTCACATCTCCATCTTTGACATCGTCATGTAACATAACAGGTTTTTTCCTGCTGTAAGGGCTGTCTTGTCCTGCAGCTCTTCTGTCTCTTAGCACCATTTGTTTCTCTGCACTTGGACTACTGGTGTTCTCAACCTGTGGCCTTGTAACTATCTTCTTCACTTCATTATCAGGGACAAATGTAAGAATGGCAGATGCAGGGATAGGCTTTGATGAAGGAAGTAGACCACTATCTGCCTCTGGATCAATAGATTTTCTTTTTGGAGGTACTGAAATTAAAACAAGAGTTAAATTGTCAATAAGTGAAGAAAAACATTGTGTTACACATTTTTTATCAATGACAACTTAACTCCATTCTTTTGGAAGGATGTTACTTCTTTCTCTGGATATGATTTAGATTGATAATTATTTTAATAAGGTCAACATATATACACTAATATGTGTAGTGGGTTATCACTTACATGAATTTACAAAGTAGGCAGGAAAGTAGCAACTCAAGGTAAATACACTTGTGCTACCAAGGGAACAAGGGCACTGTGAGAAGGGACTAGTGTGTGAACACAAAACATGACCACAAACAGTGCTCAAAACAAAAGCCCTCGATCCAGCCTATACACTGCACTACCTATACTACTTCACAATTCTGATGAAGCAGAATGCAATTTGAAGAAACCCAGTTATTAATTGTTTTAACCAGAAAGCACTTGGCATATAGTAATGGATAGAAAGCAAAGTTGTTCTAACCAGCAGTGGATTGTTCCTCTGATGTCTCCATCTCCACATCATCTCCTTGATCTTTTTCCTCTTTCACAGGCTCAGGTTTCACATCTTCTTCTTTTGCTTTTATTTGTCTTGGTCTTCTTTTTGCAAGACCAGAGAGAACATCCCCTACAAATCAATATTTGATCTCATTGTTATGCGCTTATAAAAAAATATACATAGCACACAGCCATACACTTTTACCATCATTGGTTTTATGCAATCAAACCATGTTCAATGTATGGTATATATATAATTTGCATGCAACATACCACTACTGACAGTAAGACAGTGTACCTATAAGCCACTGACCATTGAGTAATTTATTATCAGTATTGAGACTATCAGGGTTCTCGTTAAGAGCTGGTAACCAGTCATATGCATTTTTACCATCTATTCACGTACATATTAATTACCAGCTATCATAATTCTAAATAATGTCAAAATAACAATCCATCATTTGCCTTTCAAATCCATTACATATGTTGGGAAAATTCAGCTGGTGTTTAAGGGTGTTGAAGCATTTCATTTCTATAAAGATTTTGTGAGATATCCATAAGGTAATTGCCCCTTTGAAAATACAACTGTCAAATAAATCGAGCTTGTTTTGAGCTTTATTTTTCTTTTTCAAAAAAAAACAACAACCCTGATTTCAAGTTCAGTGATGTTCGCTTTTCATTGTTCTTGCGGTAAGTTGAAAACTCATGCGAGGAAAACCCATCTCTACAAGCATAGAATTTAAATTTTTTCCAGGGATGCATGTCCCCAGACCCCCTAGCTTGGCAAAGCCCCTTTGGCCTTGCAGATTTTTGCACAGATCTCAAATCCTGATGTCCTCCTGTTAAAAATCTTCTTGAAACTCCCACTTACAATGTTTCACATACACTATTCGTTGTAAATTAGAGACAAAACTCCCTCTCATACTTTGTGGGCACCACGGTTCAATCTACATGTAGAAATGGAAGCCCCAGACCTATTAAACCAGACTGTGAAGGTAAATAAAACATTTCATGAACTGTCCTACCCCTTGCAGCTTCTGTGAGAGCTTCTGTTATTTCCATGTGCTTGACCATGGTCTTGTACTTTGCCTTTAATGCAGACAGCAATCTCTTCTCCTTGCCATCATCTTCCAAACTACCGATCAGTTCATCCAGATGAGCTTTGCAGCTGAAGTACAAAGTCTCATCGCTGCCTTCCCTAATCGGGAAAGAAGAGTTTACAAAAAAGTTAACTACTAACAGTTGACTTCTGATAACTCGAATCCTCATTAACTCAAACCTCCCGCTAACTCGAAGTAATTTTCATTTCCTCTCAGGCCATTTTCTATATAATTTTACCCCCTTAATAACTCAAACTTCCGATAACTCGAACCTTTTACTATTTCCCCTGAAGGTTCGAGTTATCGGGAGTCGACTGTAAAGGCAATCTTATCTTACCAGCTTTTGGTTCTGGCACTTCAAACTCTGCTGAACGATTCATAATAATTTAGCAACAGGATGTTTCCATTGTGTACGTTCTCAAGCATTTTAAAGCTCTAGATATTTTTCACACTTAATCTAATGCTAATCATTCTAATCTACCTTGCTAAAAGAAAACAGGAACCTCTACACTGTTCCTCATTTGGAAATGTGATGATGAATGGCTAAAGGAGGGGGGTGTATAGGTTTGCAGATTGATTGTAAAAAGCAGACAGACTGATATTGTTATGACATTATATAACACTGATCAAGTATGTTGCCTTCTTTACAATTACTACAAAATATTGACCATAGCATTCACATGCACCGGTGTACCAATGAAGTTTTACACTTCTGTTCTTTTCTCACACAAAACCAAGTGAAGAATCTGCAAGACTATTCATTTTCTTAAGATTATAAATTGAATTCAGGGCCGATGATTTTGCCAAGTACTTCCAAACCTGTCAAAGACTGTCCTGGATGGTAAAAAGATGTCACAAAAATTTCCAAAAAAAGTCCCAGAGCAGTTTTAATGGCAGTCCAACTTGTGTTTAGACCAAGATAGTATTCATTAATTAATGTGCATTTTATCAGTGCTTTAGATAAGGCTGTAATTGCATTCATATAAACAAGCAATTTCAGGAAACGTTGCTTAAAATAGATATAACAATCCCCAAAAATATACTTAGATATTTTCCTTCCCTATTTCAGACCTGACCCAAAAATTGATACACTATTAAAGACCAGACCCTACCTAGAACTGCTTCAGTTCAGGTAAATATTTGAGAGGGGCTTCAAATTTGTGATGTTAATTAAACCTCACTTCTCAAGAGATGAATGAGAACAATTGATGAGAAAATAGATTTTCTGAGTAATACATAATACCTAATTGTTGACCAGTGCACATAACCTATACTATATTGAAGACCAAAATAGTCAAAATGTTTACCCCATTTCAGACCAAAGCAACTTAAAGTCCACGCCCCTTGGTGCGGCACATACCTAAAAGGCTTATATAGAGGGGTACCCCTTCTCCCACAAAAGAGGGCAGAACAAAACATTGTACAATGTTGCAGTGAAAAAACCCTGCGGGAATGTTGCCAAACAATACGATTCTGGATTTAAACAAAAATATTGGTGGATTGACAGATTTGGCAAAAAAGGCAAGAATCAGCAGATTTGCCTATGCCCAGAAAATAGGACAATTTCTGCCAGTTTAATAAATGTACTTGCAAATATAAAGAAAGAATAAGACAGCAAAGCAAGATTTTTGCAAATGACTAACTTTGTAATCTGAGCCCTTTTGTGACTAAGAGGGGTCAGGTGTTAAAAGGAAAACACTTTTGATGCAATAAGACCTTGTATTGTCTTGTAAAGGAATAAATGAAAGGAAAATAAAAATTGACAATCGGCATAGCTAAAAAAAGAAGTAAAAAGAAATGCTTGCGGTTAGTTTTTCCAGCTTGGTGCAAGATTATTCAAAGGTAAGGGCAAAGTTAAGGCTACTATAAGTGGCGTGATCGTTAAAAAAAAATTTTAGTCCTCCATCTTGAATAAATACTTACACAAACAAACGCCTGGCCAAAAACCAGTACTTCCTTCCTTCCCTATCCACCCCTAAGGGGGCGTTTCTAAGCCATCCATCCCTGTTCCAATCAGGTAGGCAATCTGTGACACCTTTGATTTGGTGGGCCTCGCATACGGGACACAGCCAATCGCCATCAGGAACCACTTCCAACGGAGGTTTGAGGCAGTGAAGATGGTACACTGCAGGACAGTTTTCGCAGCACAGTAAATCACCCATTTTACAGCAGTTTCGACAGTGATCTTCCGATTCTACCATGCCTTCGTTCATTATGTCGTACCTGACCGAATTGGAGGCGAGGAACTGATCGCAAAGTCGCTGCAAAACCTTCAATCTGTTCTCGACCGTAGTGAAGGGAAATGGACTGTCGCGGTCGTTCCCGCTGACAGCCGAAACAATGTCACCGAATTCGCTTTTATCCGACGAGATGTAGCTCCGAATGAGCTCAGGCCAAGTAAAGTCGCCCAAACAGTACGTCAGGATGTTGAAGCTGTCTTTCTCGTCGCTTGCTGTAAATGTCAATCCGCTCGCATCGTCTTCGGTTAGCAGAAAGCGTAGCAAAGCGATGTGTATTTGTGCAAGCAATGCGGATTGTTCCGGGCTCTGGATTGCCCCGCAAAAGTCTTCGAACCTAAAAGGGGTCAGTCGTATAATCCGGCTAAAATGCCTCAAAACCTCATAAACCCCCAAAGCTTGCAAAATATTCTCTGGCTCGAGTAGAAGATCATCTGACGAGGCGGGTAAGCTAAGAGGTGAGACCACTTTCAGGGGCTCGACATAACGGATTTTCGAGCTTGTGGCGTTTGAAATTGAAGAACCGTGGCTAGAAATTGAATCATTGTCACTTTCAGAATCCGACGAGTCCATTCCGTAGTATTTCCGTGGTGTTGTAGTACTGGAACCTCGAGTTTTAATGCCCGCGGGAGATGAGATACGCGGGATGCCTTGTCCGCCATGTTGGTTGATTGCACTCGCGACATTTGGCGTTTTCGAGCTTTGAGCCTGGTTCTTAGACGGCCTTCCCCTTCCTCTCTTCATTTCATCGATTTAACCTACAGATTGAGGCTAGAGCACGTGAAATGAAGTGCACTTAGCCCACTCCCACACGCTTTCACCGGTATATTCCCGTCTTTTCTCTCACTTCACTTTTTAGAAGCCACATTTTTACTTCGCGGGGAAAGAACACTATGTGGTCACGTGACCAACCCAAAATGCATCGTGCATACTCGTGAAATTTTCAAAAATGTTTGAATAAAGGATTATAAAAATCATTCAGGCCCAAGTTAGGAAACAATAAATCAGTTAAGATACTTAAGCAAATAAAAAACCAGATTCTAACTGGGAAAAAAGAAGAAAATTTTACTGGACTCAATGACTGATAATTTTGCTTTTTTATCTAAACTCCTCCCATAATGCCTTGCGACCCCACTTGCGTTCCTTCCTTCCAAGATGGCGGCCAGTCCTGCAATATCCATGTATCGTCTGCCAACTTATTACGAAGAGATGGTTGTACCACTTCCAAAGTGCATGTATAGCTTGCCGAGCTACTTTCAGACGAATTCAGAAGTGGAGGTAAGCCGTTTGATTTTAATCGTCTGTCACTACAAAAAGTATTTCCTTTCACACGTGGATTTTCCAGAAGCCGGTGTTCGCTAGAGCTCTTCTCACGAGGATTTCTTACTATTCTAGGGTGTCCAAACACAGGAGTCTTCAGCGAGTCTTCAAATTCTCGAAACTAGACAAGAAGACATTCTTTGTGAACTGAATGGATTAAAAGCTGCTGTCGAGGAAATGGCCAGTCGTGTTGGTGTATCTCTTCCGCGTCAAAAAGCGAAAGTAAGACACATGAACTTTAACTTAAAGAGTTGTAGGCATTTTAATTTAACTAAACGCGTCTGTCTGGAAGAAAGGAAAAAAGGTACAATCTTTCGCGATGAATAATCATTACTTGCCTTCTTCAATAGAAGAAGAAACCTTGAAACGTTTATTAAGTGAACTGAATTAAGTTTTTAGGAAGGCATTATTAGAGTTTGCCTGTGTTTAAAATTAAAATTAAAAATTTAGTTTTTCTTTCTGATTTTCATGAAGTTGGCTAGGAGAAATTACTTATTAGGCCAACTGAATTTAACAAGAATGTATCGATTTTCAAAAATATTAATTAAAGAACCTAATCAAGCCCAATTCTGTAATCGAGTTCAAATGTGCTTAGTGATCAAACACAAAAACAGTTTCAGTCAAATTCTTGATAAGGTTTGATTACCGGGTAATTATAATTTATTGCAAAATTGGCCAACATTTCACCTGGATGTTGACCAGGTGCAAAGTTTGTTATGTAGTGCATGCTGAATTTAATTTGTACAAGGTTTCACATTGAAAGGTAAACTTTTTCAACTCTGTTACAGCATACTGGTTAGAACAGACTTAATTGAGAAATCTGACATATCTACAGTTGGATCCCGCTAATTCGAACTTAGTTATTTCAAATTCCTCACTTAGAACTCAAAACCGTATCCCTTGGATTCGCCCTTCAGTCATTTACTATCGGCTATTTTGAACTCCCATTATATATACATATATATTTTAAACTATTTTTTATTTCCTGTGAGAGTTTAAAATAGTGGGGTTCAACTGTAAATGATTTTTAATATAATTGAGTGTGATAGGGTTTATAGTGACACAGGGGATGGGCATGAAATGAAAAGGAACCTTTCTTGGTGAAATGGCAGGGGGGGGGGGCTAAAGATCTAGTAAGGAGAGGGAGAGATAAGGGATACCCAAGGGTACCCTGGCCCCTCCTTTAGACTACCACTGGTTGTCAATCAAACACTAGCAAATTGTTGAGTTGCTTTTTGTTTGATTGCTCGATCAAACCCAGTCATTTGATGTAGTTTAAAACAGCCAATCTCAATATATTAAAATTCTGACAAGGCCCCGGGCTTAGGGCAATATAACTACAAAAGAAATTGCTTATTTTAACAAATTAAAATTTGACGATCATATTTCTGGTATTTGTCGCAAAGTTAGTGCTCAGATAAGTGCTCTGAACAGACTGAAGAATATTTTACCAGCAAAAACTAAGGAATCTCTATACCGCGCATTTATACTGCCATATTTTAACTATTGTAACCAAGTCTGGAGCCACTTCAGCAAAAGAAACGCTGCAAAATCGAGAAAGTCAACGAAAGGGCTTTAAGGTACATCTTCAAAAATAAAAGTGAATCTTATCAAGATCTCTTGCAAATAATCAGACTCCCATCCATGGAAAACCAAAGAATCCAAGACATGCTATTGACAATAAACTACTGTATATTGGACAAAGCTCCATCGGTAATTAGAGATCTTATCACCTAGTGCTCATCCAAGGATAATCTTCAACATGACTATATCCTTTCTTTGCTGAGAATTAACACAACTGAATAGGGTCTCAAATTTGCAGATATTTTGCTGCAAAGAAATGGAACAAGCTAACAAATGATATTAAAGTAGGCGCTAATGAAGTGAACAACAAAATTTGATTGCTTAGGTTTGACTGATATTGGAATTTATTGTGATTTGATTCTCTAGATTTTCAGTTCTCTGTGTTTCTAGTTTTATACAATCAATTATTGTACATTTTTAGTTTTAAATTTTAGAATATACTAGGGCCGTGGATTACCAGTAAACTTGCTGATTAGCTAAGCATAACTCCATGTTAAGTAAAGTATTGCATTGTATCTTATATGTTCCTCAACATTAATATGACTAGTTGTGTTTTAGTCCCTTAAGCCGCAGAGCTATCTAGAAGTACAACTGTATTCATTTAAAAATCTGTATGAAAATTGGCTTACTGGGTTTATTGGAAGATCATGCCTGTTTTTAGTGAATAGTTATGAGAATTCTTCTCATAGACATATAATAACAAAAAATTCCCAGGTTTATTGTCTATCGTCAGCTTCACAATCTGCTAAAATGATAAGGATTTGAATAAAGGGCCATCGCAAAATTTTACATTGCACCTTAAGTGGTGGTTGTTAACTTTTTTCCCTTTTTACAATTTTCCTTTCATAATTAAGTATTAGTTCGTGATCAAGTATAAGTTAGTTCACCCAGCTAATACTTAGGTATTAGTTAATTCACCTGGCATGGAGGTGTGTTGGCCTCATGGTTAGTGTGCTTGTCTCTGGATCAAGCATTCTGGGTTCAAGGCGTGGCCTGGGACATTGTGTTGTGTTCCTTGGCAAGACACTACTCTCACAGCGTCTCTCTCCAGCCAGGTGGATAAATGGGTACCAGCGAAACCCTTTGATGGACTAGCATCCCATCCAGGGGGGAGTAGAAATACTCCTAGTCACTTCATGCTACAGTAACTGGAGATGAGTGCTTGTCTGATGGGCTACTTGGCTCACATGCAGACTTTACTTTTTTTACCTAGTTAACCTTGCATGGAAGAACCACATCAAAGATCTGTCATTAATAAATTTCAATGCCAACATTATCATCATCATTTTTGTGTTACTATCAGTGTCTGTGGGTAGCTTGCTCACTTGCTTTCTCTCTTGATAATTTTGCTTGATTCATCAATTGATTTACAGAGTTGTTTTCTCTTTCAGGCAACTCCAAGTACACATGACTTTGTTATATCAGCTTCGCCTACTGACCCACCACTGATCGTTAGTACATTACAGCATGTCATGAAACAGAGAGGGTTAGATCACTCTACAGCAACTTTTGTTCACTCATCAGTTCAAGGACCCATTCAAGATCCTGTTAAAACACGCTTCCAGAACTTTGCTAGCTGTAGTAAGGAAATTGGCCGTGCTCCAGTAATTTTAACAGTTGTATGGAAAGAAGGTAAGAAATTGATTTATGTACGATGTACTATTAGCTGACTTTCTTTCCTTTCCAGCAAGATTTTCCATTAGAGCAAAACAGCTTTAACTGTGATATGCAGAAGAGAATTTGATTTCATCATTAGGGGTAAAAGCTTAAAACTAATCGCCAAAACATAAATTTCAAGCCAGCTCTTCAGGGACAAAAAATCACTTCTTTATATTTTGGCTCCCAAGAGATCTTAACAGCAGCACATATGCCTGTGGAAACTCCATATATTATTGTTTCTCGTTTATTTCCGATCTCTGTTGCTATGTTAGAAAAGAGTTGGTTCACACCTGTAGGTGTGCATCTGTCAAGTTATGGATGCAGTTTGAAGTTTGGATAGCACTCCAGAAGCCAAAGTTGTTCTTTGCTACAACCTGGACATCTCTTAGCTTTTCTCTCCAATCTCCTGTCTGTGTCTGTACCTCAGGCAGCATCCACACTACACCAGGGAAATTTGAAAACACAGCCTTATTACTATGGCTAGGCCTACTGTCCACACTAATCCATCATGATAACAGAGCTTTTTGAAAATGTTCTGCAAATTGGGGGAATTTGAAAACGCCGGTATTTTGGAAGCATTTTGAAATCAGAGGTTTTCAAAAACGATGGTGTCATGATAATCATGTGATTTCCCTGACTTAGTTTATGTCAAACACAAATCCAAAATGACTGGTGATTGTTGAGTTTTTCAATTCCTCCTGCGTAGTGTGGACAGAGAACATTTCATGCATTTTGAGAGTGAAACTTCTGTTTTCAAATTCCTCTGGCATAGTGCAGATGGGCCCTCAACAGATGCACTCTACATCATGAACCAATTCTTAATTATTCAACAGGAAGTCAGAGATGGATACCAATGGTTTTCAACTAGGTGATTTCCTTTTTTTTAATTTTTTTTGTTATTTTTTATTGTTTTAGTGGGAGATCTTCCATTTCTGGTGGTATCACCCTGTGCTCACACCCCTCTAACTGGTGAAATAACTATAGCAAGGTTCCTCTGCCGGACACTTCTCCCAGACTTGTATGGCAACCTAACACCTGAAGAATCAGCCACTGTTGACAACTGGATCGACCAATCACTAGCAGGCAATAAAGAGAGAACTGCTGCTTTGAAAAGCCTCAATGTAAAGCTTGCAAAGCAGAAATGGATTCTGGGTGATAAAATGACCCTCGCTGATGTTGTTCTTGCATGCTGCACTGTGAAAGAGAATGGTGGCAGCTCTGTGCCTGGCAATGTTAATAAGTGGCTGATGAGAATTCCAGGACTGTTACCGAGTAACTAATTCAATATTATAGGCATGCAATGTGTGCATAGTTCTACCTAGCTACAGGCCTTTCCTCCGATAGACAGTTGGCATAAATGGTGCCTAAATTTGGATAATATTACTGGAGACATGCTAAGCCTTGTGTTAATGTTTTCAGACAAAGGAGTTTTCACATGAATGTGAGGCTTGGGATATATCAGTATTGCTATTCAAATATCGGCACAATGTGTGCAAGTGTCTACACTAGCCTATAGTATTACTTTAATAGACCATTTTCGTATTCTTTGTATTGGACTGGAACTCGCTTGCAACCCAGGCTGTTGTGGGGAGTCTTTTCAAATGCAAATGGCATTTATCTCTTTTTAATGATATTTCCCCACATGAGTCCAATACCAAGAATACGAAAATGGTCTATTACTCGTCTGTTTAAGAAAACAGTCAAAATTCAGCACTGTATACTTGAAGACTGAAGTGTACTGAAACCTACATGTACTATGACATGTCAAAACTGAGAATGCAGAAACACAGAAATGCAGTGTTGCTAACAAAAAATAAATTGACATTTCACACCAAGTATCACTGTTCTGTTATCGAATATTGACGTATTGCAGAGAAGTCTGCTATCCCACAATGCCCTGCTACTTTGCAGGCATATTTTGGGTACGCGAGTGCACATTTACGTATTTTCTTATCAGGCCGCCATCTTGGATTTGGTAACTGTTGAGGATTAGGGCGAGGAAATATTTGCCGAGGGAGTAGGCGTTAAATGGAAAAATGGTACCTTTGTTAAAGAAGACTTTAACAAAGGTACCAAGCTATTTAAACAATAGAGTGTTTCTGTCGAGAGCTATCGGCTGATTGTTGCCCCGCGGAAATTAGATGTTCTTATAACAAATATTTGCCCGAGAAGCGAAGCTTTGAGGGCGAACTTCTAGTTTTAAGAACATCAAATTTCCATGGGACAACTATCAGACCCGATAGTTCCGAGACTAAACACTCTATTGTTTTTATTGGTCGCCACTAAATTCTCTTCCCTGCGCCAGTTCTAAAATCATATTGAATTATCTTCAATTTTTTTAGGTGAAAAGCGTGAAAGCCAGAGGTAAAATTTGAGAAAGAAAACAATAAAACTGCGTCTTTCATTTTTTTTTTTTTTCCAAAAACCCGGTTCTTTACAGTAAAATCCTCGTGGACGAATGTTATCCTTCCGGGTATTTTCCTCGGACGGGAATTATGAGCAGATAGTGTGTCTCTCCACCGATGAACACCACACGTCATGTAATCAATTTAAACCAATAAGAAGCAGTCAAAACTTAGTGTGAACTATAATTAACAATCATAGTCAAACCTCCCGTAAGCGTACACCCAAAATATGAAGCCTGGGTAGTCCCTTACGGGAGGTAATCGCTTACGAGAGCTTAGACCATATTGGGTCAAAATTTTGCCTCGTTAGCATAAGGCAACTGCATAGACTTACCCCATGTTTTAAATGTTTTATTCAAGCAAGAAGTCAATTTCGGAGAAAAATCTGGTACTTCACACTGAGAAATTTCCGCCTCTTGTACCATCCAGGAATGCGATAATGTTACAACACGTTATCATCCAATTTCCTCTCTGTTATCTGTCAAGTGGTAGCTTACCAGAGGTTAAAAACAAAAGAAAATTTAAAACTTTTAGTCCTAAAAGTAGTCACAGTCGCCCACGAGAGGTGGTCGCTTAAAGGAGGCTCCAAATATAGTGATTTAAGGATTGGGAAAGTTTTGGTATTTTGGAGAATTGGTCGCAATCAGAGGTGCGACTGTATTCACCGAAGTGGAGGTAAATACCCACCACTTTCACCGACATTGAAGTGAATCATTGTTTTAGTGCATACCACGCAAGTTAAAAATCAGCCTCGTTTATCGATAAAATTTGCTCCTCGGTAACCGAAGCCATTTTATTCAGAGGTGAAGAGTACTTGCTATTGATTAACCTGCAGCTAGCCAATCAGAATGCACGGAAAGCACTATTCACTTGTGTGGTATTTATTAATACCCGATATTTTCCAGTCAAGGCGAACCTTTCCATTTTATTTAATTTCCAATCAAAAGGTTCATTCGAAAGGAGACACTGCTCGCAATATAGAGTGGCATGAAGAAACGGCCTTTTAATGCAGATCCTGGCACCCACATAACAGATTCAAAATGACAAAAAAAAATCTAGCTAGAAAGCAGCAAGACCATGTGGTCTACTATTTCCTTAACTTCCAAGTGAAGGCAAGGAAATAAACCCCGAGACCTTAGATCCGAAGATGGGTCATTTGCAGGTACGCACTCAAACGTTGCTAGGCGCGCGTGAATCAAACGTGGTTGGTGATTGAAGAAATATGGGTTATTGACCAAGTGTGAGGTCAAGATGGCTGGATATTGGCCAAGTTCTTTTTTTTGCGAGTTTATGGACCGAAACGGAGTCGAGGTCCATAAACTCGGAAAAAAAGAACGAGGCCAATATCCAGCCATCTTGACCGAACAAGCTTGGTCAATA